TGAATCATTATGCGCCGCCTGTAGAATGGCATGTTGTCCTCTCCGCGGGATATTTTGTGGGATATAGGTGTGTCAAGTTAGGAGATACAAGTAGAAGTTGCAGATCGCTCCATGTGCCTCGTACATGTGATGCTGCTCCTCAAGAACTCTAACCGGCATCCAGCATTCATTTCTGACTCTCCGGAGCTGCACTCTGCTTAGAGGATTAATTTGACAACTATAAAGTGTGAAGATACACGCTGAATACACTCATGAGGTCTAGCCTGCCAGCCAGAAAGATTGCCAGATGGCGGTCTCAGTAATGAATACGGCCTTATGAGCTACAGATAAGAGCTTGTTATCAGGACGGGGCGAAATAGAAGTATCCAGCAAGTTCATCGATGCATTTTGTGGGGAACATCCGCATGTGGGTTACAAGTACTTGCTGCATTGGTGGCCTGGATGTGGTTCCTTCCGGTACTTCTCTATGGATGACATCTGTCGGCAGTGTATCTGCTGAAGAGTGCCTTTTAGAGGGCATTGTCGTGCGACGGCCATCGAACCTCATCGACGAATCGAGAGTAACCGTGCAGCCGCGACGTATGTCACGGCCCAAGCCACCCCATAAACCCGTATTATTCCTGAAAATCCAACTTTCTGTGTCATTCTTCCAACAGCGTAAATTTTTACACGCTCTTTATTTTGTTCCAAAAGATATTGCCAGATGAGTTTTTTGCTGCTGATTTGCAGCTGGTTGTGACGTGGAAGGGGGGGGGTGTCGTCACTCGTAATTTTACTGACAAGGTTTGGTGAGTAGGTAAGACAGGAATTCAAGTTCTATCTGTCCAACCTATATCAGTTCTATTCGATTTCGAATATTTTGACACTTGGCCTGAAGTCGTTTTGCCATTTACCACACAGCCAAGGGAAAATTATGCAAAATACAGACGAAATTTCCAGGCACAATATGTTCTTCATCAGATAGGGGAAGTTGGCTAATCATTTAGTGGCTCCATTGGACCACAACAACATGGGGGACGAGCACCGATCGCGTTACAGAGCTAACTCGTCCCATTGTGCCTTAGGGTTCTAGCTCGAGTCCCACCAGCAGCCACGTAATAAAGGTGGAATAGCATTACTCTGCCTTTGTCGGTAATGCTATTCTGCCTATATTACATTTTATTTTCACCCGTTTTAGGAACCGAAAAATCTGAAAACAAATATTTCCTGTCGATGCGGACGGAAAGGTGATCAGGCTCTGAAGGAAGAACGTACCTACCAGTAGTTTCTGCGCCATGACTAAACCCAGCGCCACAGGCAGCAACTGTGCGACATAAAAACTTACATTGGCAGTATTTGCAAAACGCGGTTGCAGCACACTCTCTTTACTCACATGTCGCCAAGCACAAACGGGAGCTTTCTTTAAGAAGAACAGTATTAGACCAAACTTTCGCTGCATTTAG